TGCACAGGGGGCCTGCTCTCTGTGTAGTTATACCCTGAGCATGGCCGTTGGGTGCATACGGGGTCTGCTCTCTGTGCAGTCACGCCCTGAGCACACATCTGTTAGCCCGAGGGAGGCATCAGATGAAGTGCAGTCCCTGGATGATGCAGACGGCGAGCCCTTTCTCGGCTGCTGCCTGAGAGCCTGGGGGCCCGAGTGCACCCAGAGGGGCCTCAGGAGAAAGGTCTGGAGGGCTGTTGTGAAGAGGCAGCCCCGTGAGCCCCGGGCCCGCTCTGCACTGACACTGGCGAGGCGGCGTCCAGTGCAGGCTCAACAGCAGCTGCCTTCTAGGGGCTGCACTCTGTCAGACGCTGGTTTTTGTCTCGTTTTGATAGCTTTTTGCAAGCAAATCCCAGCAGCCACACGGAGACAGCAAAGAGCAGAGCCCCGAGGGTGGGGGAAGCCTGGCCAGTGGGCCCCTTTGACCTGATTTTTGGCTCCTTTCCTTGATTTGTGTAATCTTTCCTGTTTGCTGCTCCCTGTGTGGAATGCAGTGGAGTGGATGGGGTCACACTGGCAGGGTGGAGGGAGGCCTCACGCAGCAAGGCTGGTGGCCAGGGAGGTCATAAAGAGCAGACCCTGTCACACAGCTGTCACCTGCAAGCCAGCCCACCGCCCACCCCGGGACTGCTGTGACCTGGCCGTGTGTGCCCTGCTGCAGTTGGGTACAGCGGTGTGGACATGACCGAGGAGGGAGCCGTCGTCCCTTGGCTTCTTTCCCGGGGCTTCCACCACTGCCCTACTTGTCCTCTGGGTCCGGCGGCCTGTGCTCCCCTTTCTGACTGTGCCTCATGAGGAGCCCGGGGCTTGGCCACCCGTTCCGAGCGCTCCTGAACAGCGTGGGCCGAGCTGGGCTGTCCCTGAGGGAAGCGGCTGCTTGGCGGCGTTGGCCGGTGGCGCTGGGCGGATGCTGACGGCCCGGCAGGAGCGGCGCTGCTTCTCCCGACGGCAGCGGAGGGCTGAGCCAGGCCTTCTCGGGCAGGCTGGCGTGGGGCGGAGCGGAAGCAAGCATTGTAGTCGGTGCTGTGCTGTGAAGGGAGTCCTAGAGCCTCCACCAGAACCGAGGGGCTCCGCTCTCCGCCTGGGTGGTTCCTCACGTGTCCTGTCCTCTCCTCAAGGTCCGAGCCCCGATGGTGGTGCAGCAGCCCCAGGTGCAGCCACAGACGGCCGTGCAGACGCCGCAGGCCGCCCAGATGGTGGCATCCGGAGTCCAGGTGAGGGCCCTGGAGCCACGCAGTCCCCTAGCTCCCCGGCAGGTGCGTTCCACACGCGCGTGCACTGGGATCACGGGCAGCAGCAGCTCGGGGCCTGCTTCCGTCTCGGAGCTCCTCTGCCCACTGTGCTGGGCCAGGCAGGAGCTCCCCAAGGAGCTGTCCTGGGCCTGGGAGCAGCCGGCTCTCCTCAGCCAGGTCCTGGGCCCGGGGCAGCTGTGTCCTCCATGGGAGTGTCTCCCCGTCCCCCTGCATGCTGCCTGACAGACAGAACATGTGGCGGGGAGCAGCTCTCGAAGCCACAGAGGGGTGGGGGCAGCCTCCGAGCCACCACGCGGGGGCCAGGTCCCGCCTGACACCACTCGCTCCTCTGTGGCCTCCCTTCTGCTCAGCTGCAAGCTTGTCCTTGGGGAGTGTGGGCGCTGGCTGCGCTGAGGCATACGCGACACACATGGGGCAGGATAGGGACTTCCAGCAGGAGGCCCGGGCTTCATCCCTATCGAGAGTTGGGTTGTCAGGCCACGTGTGTCTGAAGCGTCCCTGCCAGCCTGGTGCTGGTGGTGAGGAGCGAGCCTTCCAGTCTGAGCCCCCCAGCTTTCCGTCCCCACTGGTGCTAGAAGCACGGATGGCTCTGACTTGGAGCACAGTGTTGGTTTCTAGATCGGACCGTGTGCTGCGGTGACCGGGAGGTTCTGGGCCCAGGCTGGCCTGGTGTGGACATGCAGCATTGGTGGTGCCCCGCTCACTCGCTACACACCCGTTGTAGTGTCAGCAGCTTGGTGCTTACAGTTGTGTGGGTCTGGGAGGTGGTCCACTCATGTCTATGTTATACGCCTATTCTCAGCACACGGGTTCGGGGCTGGGGGGGGCTGCACTGTGAAGTCCCTGGGCACCCGGAGGAGGAGAGTGCCGGCTGGGAATCGAGGTGTCAGATGGCTGATACCCAGCAGCCTCCGATGTCACTGTGCCCCGCATGCCCACTGGTGTAGTCTCGCATGTACCGCCGACCCCATGCCTGTAGCTGGGGGAGGGGCAGTGCTGTGTGCCGAGGGTGGAGGTCACCTCTGCCTCCCCAGCTTTGTTCTCGGGGGTGAGTTGCTGGGCTTCCCCTCGGCGTCCTTTACCCCGGGGCCTGAGAGGAGCCGGCACGTGTTGAGAGCAGCGCTGGGCAGCACCTGGTGGCGGGCGGCCCTTCCTTCCTCCCCCGACATCAGCTCCGGCGGGAGCAGAGAGAAAGACGGGGCTGGGGGGGGCTGCCGTCCACACTCGGGTCATGCTTTCAGACCAGGCATGTTTCTCGGAGCTTCCCTACCTGTTGTCTTGCTGTTTTCACTGCGGCTCTTGGTGGCCCCTGCCCACAGCCACTGCACCTTCCTGAAGGATGGCCCATATCTCATCAGTATCCTAGCAACAGTGCAGGGCCTGGTAGTGACCAGGTGATTGGGTACAGGCAGCCTTCTTGGGGCAGGACCTCCAGATTCCTAGCCACTTTTGGAGAGCTGAGTGGCACCGTGGACAAGGGTACACATGGTCTGGTTCAGAAGTTCTTACGTATTGGGCAAGGTTAGAGAGTGCGGTCAAGTGGATTCCTGCTCACAGCGCCCCTAGAGGGCAGAGTGGAACTGCCCACAGGGTCTCCAAGGCTGTCAGTCTTCAGGGAAGCAAAGCCCAAACCACACCCACTGCCCTGGAGTCCATTCTGACCCACAGCGCCCCTAGAGGACAGAGTGGAACTGCCCACAGGGTCTCCAAGGCTGTCAGTCTTCAGGGAAGCAAAGCCCAAACCACACCCACTGCCCTGGAGTCCATTCTGACCCACAGCGCCCCTAGAGGACAGAGTGGAACTGCACCACAGGGTTTCCCAGGCTGTCAGTCTTCATGGAAGCAGACTGCCTCATCTTTCTCCTGAGGAGTTGTTGGGGGTTCAAAGCGCCGACCTTCCAGTTAAGAGCACGTTAACCACACACCCCTGGGGCTCCTTCAGGAAGTGTACGTGACCTGGGGAAATATGTTCTGGTGTCTTTCTTTCTAGTTCTTGTCTGTGTCAAGACCGTGCTGCCATGGGGTTTTATTTTCGGCTCTTTAAGAGCTGTTGGTAAACGTTGCTGGAACAGCCACGTGGTTATCCTTCTGTGACTGTACCCACTGTGTCTCGTCACTGTTTTGGGGTCTTAAGGTTTTGCTGCTACAGATGATGCTGGGGTGCCTGTTTTGATAAATGGCTGACATGTAGGTTGTCCCCGGCCTTGAGTTCCCTTGTCACCTGTGTAGCATAAAAACATGCTCAGATCCCATGACCTGTCAGCTAGCAGTTTGATCGGGGTGCAGAAGTGCATATGAAGTCATTACCAGCACTGCTCATGGGCACCTGTCGGTGCTCCGTGGACCACTGAGCTGCTGCAGGGACCCACGGGCGGACCCTCAGGACCTACAGGGCAGCACCCCAGGGCAGGCTTGTTTCGTCAAAGAAGCCCTGCGTTTGGGCTGTTCTGGTGGCTGCCGCTGAAGGAGGTTGACCAGCCAGCCTCTTGGAGAATGCTGGATGGACCCGGGAAGCCCTTGGGTGGGGCCACAGCACCCAGACTCTCGGGCTCCAGGACCCCCAGGCAGCCTGGGACGTATGCGCAGCTCTCCTGGCTGACGTTGTGCAGGCAGCTGAGCACAGCCACCTGGGGGTGGGGCGGGCTTACGAGGAGCCTCCTCTCCGCCCACGTCTTGCCAGAGCACGCTGTGACTGCTTACGCAGGAAGGAAGGTCTGCGGCCTCAAACAGCCCTCCTGGGTGTCTCGGTCACCATGATGTGGGCATGTGTAGAAACTCACTGGAACCCACGAGATGCAGAGGCCTGTCTGCACAGACAGCCTTTCCCAAGCCTGCGTGGGGCACAGCTGCGAGACAGCTGCCACCCCGTGGAGCATGACGGGGCCCCTGGAGGCCCTCCCAGGCCAGCGGCCCCACTGCCTGGGGCCAGTGGCAGATCTGAGGCAGCGGGCCTGAAGGTAGGCTGGCCAGTCATAGGGTGCAGGTCTCTTCAGGACAAGGTTCTGTTGTTTGGCTCAGTGAACGTCACAAGTGTCCTCTTTGCAACTCTTTGGTGAAAGAAGATGAGTTACCCTTGTTAGGCTTTCCCAGGGAGAACAGAGTCTGTTGGGAACAGACTAGATGGACCTTTTCTCCCCACGATACAGTCTTTCTTCTGGGAGAAGAGTCGGTGCCCCTCAGGCCTCCTGTCTTAACTCCAGGCCTCGTCCTCTTCTCTGGAAGGGGCACTGTTACTCCATGTCCTCTCGGGTGGCCTCCACTGAGGGCAAGCAGCCAGTTGTACATGGGGTGACATCATCGCCTCTGTGGCCTCATGCCCCTGTGCTGCCGTGGCCAACATGGGGAGAGCTACCACAAGAGCACAGCCCTCATGGGGTGGGGGGAGTGGCCCTGTTTTTCAGACAGTCCTGTCTCAAGCCCTGAAGATGCTCTGAGCCCTTGAGGACGCCCAGGCCACATCCTCCTTGTGTGTGTAAAGTGAGGGGCCAGACGGCAGGACCGTACCCACATTTTGGCAGACACCGGGGGCGTCCCTTCCTTAGCCCCTGCCCTCCTCCCCCAGGAAGGCCCTGTCCCACAGCCCCCACCCAGCTCCTCGGGCTGCTGCACACGGCCCACGGTGAGGGAGCAGGGGCACATGCGATGCTAGCGCCTCCTGCCGAGGGGGCCGTGTGCAGCAGCCTCACTGCACTGAACCAGGAGGCCGGCCATCTTTCCTTCTGAGCCTCACCGTCATCTGACTAGTGCTAAGCTCGGGCAGGTGAGGCGCCTGCCCCACTGACACAGGGCCCAAGAGTGAGTTAAGGTCACTGCGTCAGCCATGTATTTTAAGATGTGTGCGTTCGTCGGGTACGGTCCCAGCCATCGATGCGATCTGGAGCCGCGTCACATAGGTCGAAGGACAGACCTGCTGTTCTTCAGCGGGAATTTTCCACGTGAACTCTGCTCCCCAACCCCAGGGCAGGCCGGCTCCTGTGCTCCCTGTACTTTGGTAGTCAAAGACCCAGTTCCTCAGTGTGTTTAGAACCAAGGGTATCAGAGAGAAGCAGAGGTGGTGGGGGACTGGCTGAGTGCAGGCAAGTCCCAGGGTGGCTGGCGCTGGTCAGGGACAGCCCTCCTCGTAGCAGATCGGGTGGAAGCCTGTCCCCAGTAGCCTGCTCTCCCACAAATCCACCCCCGGCCCTTGACTGACTGCTCCTCCTTCGTACACACCAGCGAGCGCTCAGCAGTCAGCTGCAGGACCACACGCGGAGGCCGTGTCCTCACGGCCCCGCCCAGCTCCTCACGCCTCTCTGGGCCTCCGGATACTGAGAGCTTGACCACACAGGGTCGCGCCTCAGCTCCTCTCCCCGGCCGCTCACGTCCCGCTGCCCTGGGCACGCCTCACCTGCCCGTGCACTGCGTTCTGTGTTGCGATTACTTTGTCTGTGTCCCTCTGTCCCCAAAGATGATCACCGCAGCCATGGTCCAAGGCGGGATGCAAGTAAGAGCCCGGTTCCCACCCTCCACTGCCGTGTCAGCCGCACCGCCAGGCGCCCTTCCCGCGGGTGGACAGCCCCCGGCTCAGGTATTTACCATCGGCGCCCTCAGAAAACAGAGGGTGGCTCACCCTCCCTGCCCTGGCACCCAGGGCCTCGCGGTCACAGCCGCGGCAGGGCACCATGCCAGGCAAAATCCAGCATCTGATTCTTGAAAGGGGTACAAGCAAAATAGGGATTTTACTTTTTCCCGTAATATTCTAGAGAGTTCTAGACCAGAAACCAAACCCAACCCACCGCCATCAAATCAGTTCCAAGTCACCGCAACCCCCACTGGGTTTCCGAGGCAGTAAATCTCTACGGAAATAGGTTGCCCCGTCTTCCTTCCAAGGAGTGGCTGGTGGGTTTGAACTGCCAGCCTTCTGGTTAGCAGTCAAATGCCTTAGGCACTATGCCACCAGAGTTCCTCAGAGAGTTCTAAAGTGTTCCTTTTCGTCAGAAGATAGAAGAGAGCCAAGGATCTTTCCCACTGCTTTCGTGTGTCACGTTGGTACACCCAGACCTCTGCCAGGCCGCCCACCTAGCCCCACTGCGCCCCTCAGCAGGACCCTGAGTCCCAGGGCCCTTTGGGGAACCTGCTCGCCCTGTAGTACTCCGCTTCCTGGCTTGCCTTGGCACCCCGTCACACACCGTCTTTCTCCCATGGCACCAGCCTCTGCCTTGGGTCTTCAGGTGCTCAACTCTCCTGTGTCCCTCCCTGTTGCCATGCCCCATTACTGACCGCCAACCGACATCCCCCTGGGTTCTCCACAGGCACCTTAGACTGAGGCTGGAAAAGGCCTCCGTGCTCCACCCACTCGCTGCCTCCTTCCTGCCTCCTGTCGCTCACATAGCCAGTCGCCCTGGGCCACGCAGGTCGTACTAGCCAGGTGTTACTGTCTGCGGGAACCCCCACCCCAAAGTAGAGCCAGAGGGGGAGAATGATGAAGGCAGAATCAAGTTCATGCCGGAAAGGAGCACTGTAGAAAATTCTGGGTCCCCTGGGTCATAGACTCAGGTGGAGGGGTGACAGGTGGCGCTGGCAGCGGCCAGCCCCCTGCACACGGACTTGTTCGCGACTCTACTGTCAGTTCTGGGTGTACCCGGAGTCTCAGGACTGGTCCGGGTCGGGTCAGCAAGGATCAGGACCTGCTGCTTGTCTCAGCAGGAGACCAAAGCCAGAGGAGTTCCAGAAAGGGGAACTGAGCTCGGACTAGACTGCAGCTTTTGTCCAGGTTTGAATTTGAAAGCAACCTTACTCATGCTGGCAGGCGAGAGGGGACTCCGGGCAAGTGGGAGCGGACCCTGGCAGCGTAGACCTGTGCCCGCCGGCCGAGAGCAGACGCTATTCAGAGAAGGGGGAAGCCACTGGAGAAGGAGCCAGAAGGGGAGGCCTCCACTGCCTGGTGAGGCGCTCTGCCACCCATAGGGCCTGTGCGCACCCTGCCTCCTCACTGCAGGCCCCTGCCCACCCGACCCTGGACTCCTGTGTTGTCACTGGGCCCCGCCTTCCTGACATGGACCCGCCGATGCCACCAAGGGCAGTGAGGGTGTGCTTTAAAACGGCGCCACTTGGAAGTGGGGCTTGCGGTTTGAAACGTGCTTTTCTCGACCTTTCAGCTCAGGGTCAAACACAACAAAACCAACGTTTTCCGTGTTAGATTTAGGACCTGAACGCCGTTCCCTGCTGTATCTGCATACATGCACTTGTGTGTGTGCACGCGAGTGCACGCACTAACGTGTACATGCACACACATGTGTACACACATGCACACGTATGCGCATGCCCACACAGCCTAGCCAGACTTGGACACTCTCTCTCCAGCTCTTCTCCAGTCAGCACGCACCCCCAATCCATTCCCTGCACCAGCCTCAGCCTGGGGCCCTGGTGTTGCTTCCCTGAGATTCCTCAGGGCCAGCGCCCGGCCTGTGAGCATCCGGGGCCCTGTGGGCCAACTCTGGTGCCGGGGCCACATGGTCTTGCTCATCTGGTGGGCCTCACGCCTACCATCCTCATGCTGGACCAGAAACCCACTCCCAGAGAAGAGACCCCCGGCGTCATGACCTCATTCCCCCTCCACCATGGGGATCAGTCCCCACTTCTGGTGGGCCGGGCCGCTGGGGGAGCAAAACCAGCACAGTCCATGGCCCCAGAACCCACTCTGTGGTAGGAGTCCATGATGCCCGCAGCCCTGCACGGAGGCCTCGGGTGGCGCCAGGGTTGTCCGATGGGCAGTGGTCCCAGGCGGCCCAGAGCAGCTGGTGCCACCAGCCCTTCTAGAAGTTTCCTCTGTGGTGTCATCCTTCCAACCCCCCTTCTGCTGTTTCTCTGCATTCACCCTGTCTTCTGGTCCCCATTCCTTACGCTTATCCTCTCCACCAGGGCCCTCACGCACCCCCAGCCCACCCACTGCAAGGCCACCACAGCCTCCCGTGGCTCAGCCCACACGAGGGTCCTAGGGCAGGTCCTCTGGACCGTGGTGTAGGGTTTTTTTTTTTTTTTTTTTTTTTTTTTTCATTTTTAATTGTGCTTTGGGTACAAATTTACAAAGCAGATTAGTTTTATATTCAACATTCATGCACGTTTGATTTCACAGCCCGATTACCATCCCCTCACCACCCTCTCCCTGTGCCCTGCTTATCTCTGCATTCCTGTCTGTCCAGTTGTCCTTCTGTGTGAATGCTGCCCCTCTGATGTCTCATGGCCGATTGCTCTGAGAGGTGCATTTTCTTAGAGTAGGTGGGTGCATCATCCTGGGATAGGTGTTCTGCTTGTTGGTGTTTCTGCTATTGGGCTGAGAGCCAACCCATGGGCATTAGTCCTTTTCTAGGCCCAAAGGGTAACCCGGGGCCACAGTCTTGGGGGTTTCACCAGTCTCTATCCGACCAGTAATTCTGGTTGTTTTTGTGTTTCTGAATTTTGTTCCCCATTTTTCCTCCCACTCTATCCAGGTTCTCTAGTTTGGATCCCCCTCCGAGTGGTTGGCATTCTAACGGGCACCATCTAGTTCTTCTGGTCTCAGGGTTGTGGAGGCTGAGGTCCTCGTGATCCATCCTATCTTTGGACTCATTGTTTCCAAGTGACTTTGATTTTCTTCACTCTTTTTCACTCTAGACGAGAGGAGACCAATAGTTACATCTTACATGGACGCTCAAAAGCTTTTAAGACCCCAGTTGCTACTCACCAAAGTAGGCTGTAGAAGAAGATTTTCACGTGCTGTGTTGTGCCAATTAAGCATGGTGACCCCGAGGCCACAGGTCGTGGGGTCATTTTGCTCCTAGGAGAGCAGGTATCCGCAGGAGTCACTATGGTGTCATGTTGAGTGTGCCTGGTGCTGCCCCACAGCGTGCGACCTCGAGGAACCCCTTCCTGTTCTGTGCACCCATCCGCTCTTCCAGCATGTGGTGACAGGGCGCCCTCCCGGGACCGGACGAGGAGCGGTGTCCCTTGGGTGCTTTGGCTGCTCCTCAGAAGACGCTGTCACACTTAACTGAGGCTTTAGCCTTTGCTCTCCTGTGCTGCCGAGCCTGCCAGCTCACCCATGCCCTGGAGAACAGACAAGGAGGCAGCTTCTCACCGGGCCCAGCTGGGTGGGCCTCTGGGGGCTGCCTCGTGCCCTGTGGCCCGTCTCGGTGGCCTCAGTTCCCAGCACTGAGCCCTGCTGCCTCTCTGGGTGTGGGGCTCCTCGTTTCAGAAATGAGAGGGTAGCCAATGGTGTTCTTCCTACTGGGGGCCGCCGGGCACACTGCCTCACAAAGTGCTGAGTAGCACCAGGGGGAGGAGCGTCTGGGGTTGCCACCTGAGCACAGGGAGCCACGCGGAGAGCAGCATCCTGATGGGGGCACCAGCGCCCCCTCCACTGGGGGACAGGACCCCGGCAGCCTCCACCCCAGCACTGGAGGGGGGGCTGGTGGAGGGCAGGAGGGGGGCAGGTAAATGCATCCATAAGCTCAGGCGAGCAACCCCAAGAGAGGCCGGTGAGCTGGGATGGGGCCAGGGACACGCCTCCCTGTTCAGGTGCCCTTCCTGTCCCTGGTTTCAGAGCAAGAAAGACGTGTTCTTGGGAGCACAGCCAGTGCAGGCCCCCCAGGGATGTTGGGGAAGCATGTTCCCAGCGCCGGTGTCAGGACGCCCAGGGGAGGTGGCTCGCGGGAGACTCTAGAACCTGGTGGCCGAGGCGTGTGTAGATGGGCCGGGACGTTGGCGGAGAGGGGCTGGTGGTGCCCCACGAAGGTCACCCCCGGAGAAGGCCGCGCATGCTGGCAGATGGCGCCCCATCTCGGGGAGGCTGACCTCAGGGCCACCAGCCTGCACTTGGGGGACATGGTTGTGTCGCAGACTTGTCCCTGACCCCTGGGTGGTTTGGTCCGTGGAGCTCAGGGGCGAGTAGTGGTGGTGTCCCTGGCGATGACAGGTGACCAGGTGCAGGCTCACCTCCAAGCACTGTGGGAACAGCTTTGCAGAATGGCGTTGAGAGCGTTCTCATGGAGGACCATGGCTGTCAGACCCACTGGCAGGCCTGCTGGGGTGGAAGGCTGCAGGAGCCTGGACCAGGTGTGCTGTGGACACAGCCCCCCCAGGGACCCGGGTGTTCCCTGACCTCCTGCATCTGGGCAGAAGGGGCAGGAGCTCCTGCAGGCAGCAGCACAGGGCAGACAGGCCTCCAGCTGTACTTGTCCTGGGCACAGTCAGAACCTGGGCAGTGCGGCCCCCGGTGGTGGTGTCGGGGTTCTGCACCTGCACCGGCAGGTGGGCCCACCCAGCAGCCAACAGAGGGAGGAGCTGGCTGCCTCCCGCGGGGCCCTGGGCTGGGGACCCCGCGCCTGATCTGGCCCCTCCGCAGCGCCTTGGTTGGCTGCAGAAAGGCTTGGTTTTCTGTCCCCTTCCTGGGGTGGTGCCTGGAGGGGACCGTGGGGAGCCACGGGGCACACGTGCAGGCCAGCAGACGGGCGGTGGCGGGGCGGCAGCGGCCAGCGCCACCAGGCTCAGGTCTCTCTCGCCCCCAGGTCAGCCAGAGTGGCCTCCCGATGCTGTCCTCGCCGTCACCCGGCCAGCAAGTGCCAACCCCTCAGTCGATGCCCCCGCCTCCCCAGCCGTCTCCCCAGCCGGGCCAGCCTAGCTCTCAGCCCAACTCCAACGTCAGGTAGGCTGGGGGCTGCCCGTGTGCAGGGTGCGCTGCCCCCGCCCCCCGCCCCCCCAACACACCTCCTTCTTTGCCGCAGCTCTGGCCCCGCCCCGTCCCCCGGTAGCTTCCTGCCCAGCCCCTCACCTCAGCCTTCTCAGAGCCCGGTCACAGCGCGCACCCCTCAGAACTTCAGCGTGCCCTCACCTGGACCTCTGAACACCCCAGGTGAGCGGGGCCATGGGCTGCAGAGGGCCCACACACCCCGCAGGTACGTAGGGCCGGGGCTCAGCGAACCGGGTCATGTATTGGGGTGGTCCCCATACACACCCCAGCATTGAGTGCAGGGCCCGAGTCCCGCCTCCGGCGCCCAATCCCGTGGCTGTGTGCGGAGCTGGGCGGGCAGGCGGCCCCCCTTACAGCCGTGCGCCCGCAGTGAACCCCAGCTCGGCCATGAGCCCCGCCGGCCCGAGCCAGGCCGAGGAGCAGCAGTACCTGGAGAAGCTGAAGCAGCTGTCCAAGTACATCGAGCCCCTCCGCCGGATGATCAACAAGATCGACAAGAACGAAGGTGCGGCCGGGCCGCGGGGCGGGGGCCGGGCCCCGGGGCAGCGGCTCAGTGTGCCCTCCCCCCCCAGACAGAAAGAAGGACCTTAGCAAGATGAAGAGCCTCCTGGACATCCTGACGGACCCGTCCAAGCGGTGAGCCCGCGCCCGCGGCCCGGGGGGTGCGCCCGCAGGACGGCGGGCTCAGCCAGGCCGGGATTCATCGTGGGTTTAGAGAGGGCTTGGGGGCTGCCGGCCGGAGCTGCCTGCCACCCCCTTGGAGAGCCCCAGTGGCGTTGCTGCGGACCCGAAGGCCCTACTGCGGCCTGGCCGGTGATGCCTTCCCCGCCCCGCTCACCTCCGCCCTGATTTGCTGGTGACCGGAGCAGGGGACTCGGTGTTCCTAGGCTCAGTCCCCATGTGCAGAGGGACAGCTGCAGCCCACACGCGTTGAGTGTGAAGCCAAACGCTGGCAACACAGCAAGTGCCGGCGTCGCAACACCTGAAGCCTGTCGCCCCTCGCCCCAGCCTGTTTCCCCTTCTGCGGAAATAGGGGGGGGCCCGCCTTGCCAGCCCAGGGCTGCTCCGAGTGGGCCGGCTCCACAGGCCGTGTGCAGGGAGCTCTGAGTGTTCCTTCCAGAAGCTTCCGCCCTTCCTGCTGTGGGGGCAGAGTGCTCAGCTGGGACCCTCGGAGGGAGGCGATCCCCAGGACTCGGGGGCTGGGCTGGGGCGGGCGGCCTAGAGGGGAGCGTCGCCCAGTGCTGGGCCTCTGGCCGCGCCCGCTGGCCCCAGGGTCAGCTCTAGGGAGCACGGCCGCCTCGCCTAGCCTTGGGGGCCTGGGGGTCAGGGTGGTGGCCTGCTGGCGTTTCCCGTGGAGGTACCCTGGCTACCTGCAGCCAGCTCCCTCCAACCTTCCGCACTGAGGGCTGGCCGGCACTCCCTGCAGCTGTCCCCTGAAGACCCTGCAGAAGTGCGAGATCGCGCTGGAGAAGCTCAAGAACGACATGGCCGTGGTGCGTGGGGAGCCTCGGGGCTCAGGGGCGGCAGGGGGCAGGCCACAGTGAGTGGCAGCTTGGGCTCAGGTCTGTGGCGGCGGGGGCGGGGAGGTGCTGGGCGGAGGAGGCAAGCAGGCCCTGGGCCGCGGTCCTAGGGCCGCTGAGCCCTCTGGCTGCCTGTCTGCAGCCCACGCCCCCGCCGCCCCCGGTGCCGCCCACCAAGCAACAGTACCTGTGCCAGCCCCTCCTGGACGCCGTCCTGGCCAACATCCGCTCACCCGTCTTCAACCACTCCCTGTACCGCACGTTCATGCCACCAATGGCAGCCATCCACGGCCCACCCATCACGTACGTACGCCGGGTGTGCGGGGGCAGCCCGGCCCGGCCCCTGCTCACCCCCGCCTCCCGCAGGGCCCCCCCGCTGTGCACCCGGAAGCGCAAGTTCGAGGAGGAGGAGCGGCAGAGTATCCCCAGCGTGCTCCAGGGGGAGGTGGCCCGCTTGGACCCCAAGTTCCTGGTGAACTTGGACCCTTCTCACTGCAGCAACAACGGCACTGTCCACCTGATCTGCAAGCTGGGTGAGGGCCGGGCCGGGGGCCGCCCGCAGACACCCACCTCCTGGGGACCCAGGCCCGAGAGACCTTCCCGTGGTTCTCCCTGGAGCCAGCCTGCATGCCTGCTTTGTCCCCACACACAGCTGACAGGCGCCATGCGGTCCTGTGGATGGGGGGCGGGGGCAGGGGCGGGCTCTGCAGGGCGCCCCACTTCTGCAGTTGGGGGCTTCAGGGCTGCAGGCCGGTCACAGCCGCAGCTTCGTGTTTTGCAGATGACAAGGACCTCCCAAGCGTGCCCCCGCTGGAGCTCAGTGTGCCTGCCGACTACCCCGCCCAGAGCCCACTCTGGGTCGACCAGCAGTGGCAGTATGGTAGGCGTACCCTGGAGGCGGCCTGCAGCCCCAGGACGAAAGGGTGGTGTCTCAGAGAGGGGATCCCTGCCTGAGCTCCTTGGGTGAGGGGTGCAGGGGCCCACTGTGACCTCCGCAAGGCTGATGGAAGGGGCACGCGAGGCCTCTGAGGAAAACCCCGTTGGTGGGAGGTGGTCCGCCTGATGTCAGAGCCGGCACCCGGGGCCAGGACGAGGAGAGCCCCTCAAAGGGGGTTGAAAGGCTCCCGAGCCGGGTCCAGACGCCACGTGCTCCTCCAGTGGTGGGTGCCCCTCCCCTCACCGTGAGGCCGTTGGCCTCGTGGCACCTGAGGGCCTGCAGCGGTGCCACACTCGGTGCCCCCTCCCTTGCAGAGGCCAACCCCTTCCTGCAGTCGGTGCACCGCTTCATGACCTCCCGGCTGCTGCAGCTCCCCGACAAGCACTCGGTCACGGCCCTGCTCAACACCTGGGCGCAGAGCGTCCACCAGGCCTGCCTCTCGGCCGCGTAGCAGCCCTGGGCCGCGGGCCACCCACTGAGACTGCCGGGGGCGCCGCCTCACACTGGACGGCACTGGGCGTTGGCTTCTTAGAAAGCCCGGCTTAGATTAGCTTTCTTGCTTTCGTCTTCTGCCTTGGGACCTACCAGACCTCCTCCCACGCTGGGACAGACCTTGGCCAGGTTGTGGAGCCGACCGCACCAGGGAGGGCTGCCCCTTTCCTCGGGAGGCCCTCCTCGAGGAGTTCCGCCCTGGCTCCGCACGCCTGTCACCTGCCACTCCTCACACTTCCCCTGTGCGCTCGGCCGGTACCACTCAGCGTGTGTCCCAGGATAGGCCCACCTGCCCCAGGCCCACACGGACATCATAGGAAATTCCCAGCGCAAGTGGGCTTGCCCCGCCCGCAGCTCTGGGTGTAGACAGACAGCGTTGCCTTTGGCATGTGGGACACAGCACGGGAGGTTGGGGGGTGGTCCTGGGGAGCAGGCTCCACTTTGGAGGAAAGGCACTTCCCCTTCACACTGCTTGGCACAGCGGGGCACACAAGGCAGTGGGTCTTGTCCCTGTACTGAGGCCCGGCTGTGAATGATTAAGCATGGGCAGCCCTGTGATGCAGCTGCCCGCCACAGCCTGTTCCAAGACTGTCCTCTGGGCCACCCCAGTCAACCACGTCCCGCTGCTGCGTGCCACCAGGCCACCCTGGGTGCCAGCTGGCCTCAGCACAGGAGTCTGTCTTTTGTATGCGTGCTACCATGTCATTTTGGTTCTTGTATAATAAATTTATTAACTCCCATTCTTGTCACAAGTCTGTTCCCTACACACCCTGCGAGATTCTGGGCCCACTGTCCTGTGAGGTCAGTTTTTGGAGCACTGTCTGGCCCCGGATACCCTGGCCCTGGTTCCTCCTCCTGTGACACACAGCGTCCCCCAGCTCTGAGGGCAGGGCTCCGACCTCAGGGGGACACACTGAATGGGACGCCGAGGAGACGGGGAGTGTGACCCACCCAGAGAGCAGCTGCTGGCGTCCAGAGGGTTCCGCGCTGACAAGGGCTGACGTGAGCCCTGGATGCCCCGAGGTGGGAAACCCCAAGCTAGGCCCTTGGTGGTGGCCCCCCCAGGAAACGGGGGGCTCAGCTGGACAAGTTGTGGAACAGCACTTGCTTCTTGAAGCAAAAAGACTCAGAAGGCCTGAGAGGCAGTGCCCGGCCAGACCAGGGAACGCCTAGAGCCCTCCAGTCCCACGTGACTCCGAGAGGGTGGGAAGCTTTGCCTCAGCACCCCACTCGCAAAGCTGCCGAGGCCCATTGAGGTCCGTGGACTGACCAGCAAGCCCCTTGGAAATTCCAGGGAGCACAGGCAAGCGGGAAACAGGAGAGATGCGACTGAAAGAAACGAAGTTTATGATTCAGTGGTGGGATCCGGGTTAATTTCACAACAGGCTTTTTGTAAGAACTCGGTTTGCCTTGAAGCGTCAGGTTCTTTGGATCGTTCGGGGGCTGGTTTCTGGGCTGCGGGGCCCTGGGCAGCGACTGGGCTCAGAGCACCGAGCGGTGCACACGCCGGCTCTGCACCACCTGCAGCCGCTTCTGCCGCTCCGTGAAGCTGCTCTTGAGGCTCTGCTTCAGGGCAGGCAGGATGGCCCTCTCCGCGAGGGACACGGGACTCATGATCAGGCTGCGGACAGAGGAGGGTCGCTGCAGCGCAGGCCGGCCCCGACAGCCTGCAGCGCAGGTGGCCGCGTCTGCGCCCGCCCGCCCAGCCAGCCAGGACTTCCTGGTACCGAAGACTCACCACTTCTTAGACAGGCCCCTGGCAGCTGCAGCCTTGGGGGATGGCATGGCCTCCTGGTCCCTGGGAGAGGCGAAAGTCAGCCGTGAGCTATGGCCAACCCCAGCGAGTGGTGAAGGGCGGGTGGTTGGCCAGGGACACTCACTTGGGAGAGCTGGGCATTGGCTTGTCCAGGGTGGGCCTGGGGGTCTGGCCCCCGTCCAGCAGGGACTTGAGGTGTTGCAGCTGAAAGGGAGACAGGACGTGTGGGGCCCGCGGCGGCAGGGACCCGCCCCTGCGCCCGGGCCTCACCTCTTGGGCTTGCAGCAGGTTGGCATTCCACAGCTGCCTGATGACCACCTCGCACTGCTGGAGCGTGGTGGGCTTGCGCAGGTGCGGGGGCAGGCTCAGTGAGGGGCTCGCCAGCCTGCCCTTGGACTGACTGCCCGACCCGGGGACAGTCCCCACGCTACTGACCTCTGCTTCTTTATCCCTAAAAAAGCCAGTGTTTAGTGCAGTAGCCAGGGCCACGCTCACCCCAGTGTGGAAACAGTGGCAGAGGGGGCATCCAGTCTCCCTTCTCCAGCCAAACAGGGTGCTCTGGGCCCCTAGGTGGCTCTCCAGGGCCAGCTGTGACCTGGCCTGCCCCTCCATCCCCTCCCCAGTTCAGATGTGGCTTGGGGACTATGCCGTCAGCCTAGCAAGGAATCTATGAGCAAAGAAGTGGGCGCCTGTCCTGCTGGGTGCAGTACCTAAGGGGACGACAGGGTCATTGCTTTCCAGAGAAGTCCAGAAATGCTGGAGTGTAAAAGCCCGGGCCGCTCTCCCACTGGGGCAGGCTGTCCGAGGCCAGGCTGGGCAGTGTTAAACTGCTGTGTTCCAATCAGGCCACACATGGCTCCCAGAGTGGTTCTCGGGAACCATCCCCTGTTCTTGGTCAAAAGTAAACTAATTTGGAGGTGAGTCATCTTGCTTGCTTTTTCTGAGAAAATCGTTGCAGGGCTGCTGCTGACCCCCTCCTGGGCTCGGGGGTGCAGCAGCTGGAAAGGAGGGCTGTCAGTCCCCACACTAGGGGCAGCGCTGATTCCAGGGCTCACTGAAGGATGGTGCCTGGGCCCTGTGTCTGCGGCTTACCTGGCCTGGTCCTGCTCCCCCGCTCCAGGGGCTTTGTCGCTGGGACTCGGGGGCTCCTCCTCAAAGTCTGCCTTTTGGGGGACGTCCACTTTGGAGCCCTGCTTCTTGGAGTAGCTGGGCTGGCTCCTGGCCTTGCCTTGAGACATGGCTGCAGGTCAGATCCGACAGGGGCGTCACTGACCGCTGGGGCTGCTGCCACACCCTCCAGGGCTGGCTGGGTGCGAGGTGCCTGCCTCTAGCTCAGTTGCCCCCTCTGTATGGAGACGGGTAGCCGGGCCTCCCTCGGTGCCCTGCTGGGAGGCGTGAGCGGCGTCTGCGGGCGAGACAGGCACCCCGCAGCCCCCCAAGCAGCCGGTCTCCACCATTCACAGGCGAGGTGTGGGGGGACCTGCCGTCCAAACTCCCGACTCTGGTCAAAGAGCAACTAACTGAACGAGAGGTCGGGAGGCCAGCCCGGGGATGTACGACCGGGACCCGGGAAGCCCGCGGGGGCCCTGGACGA